ATTTTAATATAATAATATTCAATTACTAGTTCTTGATTAAATTTTCTAAATTAAATATTCGTATAAAGTTTTCCCATTCCTAATTGTCTGGTAGTTGTATAATATAATCGTTTAAAATAGTAATTACTCGACTGACTCTCATCTCTAATAACCGAACAGCTGTTTTGCTGCGTTTGTTGTGTGTGGCATTTGTGTGCACTCACATTCGGCGTCCTTCTGAAAAAAGAAAATCTTATAATAAATACTGTTTGCAAGCATTTAGATATAAAAGTTCTGAATACTGTCATGTATAACGCAGAATGCATTGCTATAAAGGATATTAAGCCCGGTCTGAAAAACATCAATGTTATTTTCATAGTACTCGAGGTCAGTATTTGTTATCGATAACAAACTGTTTTGGCCGATTTGTTTACATTTGTATGCACTTGCTACCAGGTGGGCGTGGCAACCGTCACGAAAGAGAACCGCGAGGTGCGCAATTTCAAAGTGGGCGATCCCACAGCCAGCATCAATGTCTCCATTTGGGATGAGCCGGGCAAGCTGATAACGCCGGGCGACATCATACGACTGACTAAGGGCTATGCCTCCATTTGGCGTCACTGCCTCACACTTTATTCTGGCAAAAATGGTGAGGTCTTCAAGATTGGCGAATTCTGTATGATCTTCAACGAGGCGCTCAACATGAGCGAACCCAAGCGAGCCGAAACACCTGTGGCCCAGGGTGGCATGGTCGCTGTCCAGGCGCCAGTCGCAACGCCCGTGGGCGTTGTAGCTGGCGCTGTGCAGCCACCACCTAATCCAACGCCACCCGTTGTGGTGCCACCCACAATTGTGAAGCAGGCAGCGCGCGGTGGCCGAACGGGCACAGCCCGAGCCGGAGCTCTGAAAGCGGAGCGCAGATAAAGCAGATGCACCCGGAACCACTGAGTACAAGGAGAAGCTTCGTAACAAATTTATTAATAAATTATGTGAACGTTTTTATTGCGAATCGTAGACAGAGAATAGTTTGTGAAACATTTGTTTTAAGGGATCTGTATCTGTAAGAATTACATACATACATACAAATTAATGAGAAATAAATATTGTATTTTAAAAAAAGACAACAGCTAAAATGTGTGTTGTGTGCGTGTGCGTTTACGTGTACGTGTGTGCATGTGTGTGTGTGAGTGTGGAATTAGCTTAAGCTACAGCGAGCCGCAACGCTTATATCTTCTTCTTCTTCTCATAGTTAGCCTGAACGGCTTTCAGCAGCCAGCCAACCTCCTCGACGGTCTTTATCTGATAGTTGGCATAGGTCTTCAGCGTTGGCAGCTCCGAAACACGGAAGGTCTTGCCAATGCCATGGAGCACCTTGATGGCATCCTCATCGGTGGTATCATCGCCCACATAGATGATTTTCAAGTTCTTGGCCCAATCAGCATCGAATTGCTTCTCCAGAATCATCTTGGCGCCCTCTCCTGCAAAAAAATAAAAATAAAATAAATAAATAAACATTAAAAATAAATATCATATATACAAATATATAGAGTTATATATTATCAATAAAAATTCGTTTTTGTATTTTCTCTTTAAGTGTTTCTTTTGTTCCTCAAAGTATTTCTTCTAAGTGTTTCCTCCAAATATTTCCTCTAAGTATTTTTGCTAAGTCTTTCCTCTCGCGATTTCTTAAAAGTATTTCCATTTCACTTCACTCTACTGCACTCCACGACTGACCCCAACCAGGCCTGGGCGACTGAAGAAATGCTACAGCTGATGCCCTTTATATAGGGCGTCTCTCACTCGAACGAAGTAGCGCTCAAATGTTGAGCCCGACGCCAGGTAGAAGTCGTAGCAGTCGAGCATTAAGTGACCAATGGGAGCGGTCTCTGCTGCTTCGTTTTACTTGAGTATAAATACCAAACAAGTACTCCTGCATACATATGAAGAGCTTAAATGATCTAAAGTTCTGCGTCGTCCCTTTGTTGGGCAGACAGAGAGACAGATGGAGAGACATATTATGAGGAGTATAGGCAGAGAGACAGATATGTGTACAGAGAGATATACGAACAGATATATAGGCAAATAAGCACCCATAGTTATATCTGATTACCTTAATACGCTGCTCAATAGGCTGCTTTATGAGGCTAAATGTTGATATGTTAAATAACTTTAATATAATTATTAGATGGCATACTCTGAGTCTAATATTTGTTTTTT